TTCTAAACTCTAAATGCTCTAAAAGAGCACAGAATGTCATGATTTTCAGCTCCCTGCCTCCTCTGCTCTCAAGCGCTCTTGGCCACGCCCACTTCCTCGCTCTGCACAGAGAACAGCTGATCAGCTGCAGCAGGAAGTTTATCCTGCAGTGTGGGCTGCACAAAGGTGCAGCAGGTGCTAAATCATTTAAAATAATTTATTTAAAATAAAATTCCATGCCGATCGTGCGGCTCATCCATCAATCAGCCAATTGTGTGTCTTGTCCAATTACATTTTGAAAAAACGCAATAGAGCGAGTCTGCGATAAACGAACCACGAAGTAGCGAGGGACTACTGTATTTTACTATTTTACCATTCTTCTCTAAGACAGCAAAAGTTATAAATGTATACATTAAACTTTTGTTGCCAGTGGACTGTGGTTGTTAAAGGATGCACAGACTCTGGTTTCAAATATACAACATGGCAGCTCCTATAAACTGGATCCCTCCAGTTTCAATTCCCAACGACAAGGGAAGGTGGGGACACTTGGTCTATTAATATACACGTCTATGAGCTCAAACAAGTTATTTATACTATTTTTGAACTTTGACTGCACTATAGTAACAAATTGAATCTCTTATTTTAAAACTTGTTTTTTCTCAAGCATGGTCTCATTATACAGTGAAAGACATTCACATATGGCACATGAGGATATTCTTTCCCTGACTGTACCAAAGGGGGCAATCAGGAAGCAATGCTGAGCCTATGTGGTCTCATGGGGGAACAGATTTAACCTGATGGTGACAGAGATCTACTTTACTGTGGGAAGAATCTAAAGGCATAGCAAGTGTGGGATCTGATCATCATGAATTGTCTTCACTACAGATATTATTGCTGCAATCCTGTTACGTTTGAAAGCAGTTTTAACATCTCAGACAATAGTTGTCCTCTGGGGTCACTGCTGAAAACCCACAGACTTGACATACAGTAATATCTGGAAAGAGATTACTTAGGATCTGAAGCGACAGTTAACAAACGAGATGTTAATACAGGCTGAATGAGGTTATAAGCAAGGTAAAAATAAAAATCCTTGAGAATTACTGTAGAAGTATAATAATAAAGTATATGTTTAGTCTTCTGTGTTAACTTTAGATGACAGAGTTAGTGTTATTTGCTTTTCCAGGTACCGTATTTTTTGGACCTTAAGGCGCAATATCAATGAACAGGTCTGTTATCATACATAAGGTGCATTAAGTGAAACAAAACAGTCGTACAAGTCAAACTTTATTCAACTCATTCACAATAACTCTCAACATTGTTCAGTTATAGAACATAAAATAAAAAACAATACACATTTTTGAGCGCCGTGTACCACATAAAATCGGTTCGAGGTCAATAAGCACAACCAGAATTAATACATAAAGCGCACCGGATTATAAAGCTCACGGTGGATTTTTGAGAAAATTAAAGGATTTTAAGTGCGCCTTATAGTCCGAAAAATACGGTAAACAGGATGACGGTTAAAAGGAGGGGAAGAGGCGAGTCAGGTGACGGGGATTTAAAGAGCGTTAACTGAGGAGAAAGGACTTGAGTTCAAAGTGTAAACAGGACAAGAAAGTGGGATTAGCTGAAGAAAAAGTAATGGAGTTGGAGTGCAGAGCAGTGGTACTAATTATAACTTAAAGCAGGTTACGGCTACAGTGTCTGACTTTATGGAAGAACAAATTAAAAGTTTTACTGCTACCTGAATGTGAAAGAAACATTTTCTCCAAAGAAAGTACTGGCAAGAGACTCGTGGTGTAATAAAATACGAGAGGTGAAGATGGCCTACTTGGTAATATAGATTCAGATGGAGCTGAAGTTGGGACTTATGTGATAAATTTAGAAGAGCTCTGTAAATATGCCACGTTTTTTCCCCCCAGTGGAGCTCTTAATCATGATGTCAGAGACTTGGACAGACTACTCATCCAAGGAATATAAAACAGGTCATGCAGCAATATCAAACATAATGTCACAGCCAGCAGGAAGCTCACTGAGGCATTGTGACACAATGAAACATACGTTGCAGGCAGCTTTGGATCAGTGGTAGGCAGTTCGTCCAGTCGGAGGATCGAGAGTTCGATCCCTAGCTTAATGTTCCTGATATACCCCAATATGCCTTTTAGAATATGGGTGAGAATGTAAAAGAGCAGTAAGAGTGTGTAAAATATATAATGGCTGTGTGGTTGTGCAAGAGTGAATGAGAAACTTTATAAATCACTGCAAACCCTGGAGAGGTTAAAATGCTCTATAGAAGCGTGGACCATTACTGTTGTGATTTTGGAGTTCATTTGCACTGGTTTTATTACTGTTTTTGTCATTATAGGGTTAAATAAGCTGAAAGCACAAAAAGTAACGTGTATATTATAGGTGGGAGGTAAAATCTATTTTTAGATTCTGCACATGAAAGTGAAGCACCTCCGTGACGGGTCACAGTAAAACTGTGCATTTTCACATATTTACATCAACTTTTTGTTGAACCCTAAATAATTTATGCCTGTAAATAATATCCATCCATCCATCCATCCAATTTAATTCAGTTCAATTCAGTTTATTTATATAGTGCCAAGTCACTACAGAAGTCATCTCAGGGCACTGAACAGAAACATTCACATACATGAAATATAAGTTAAAAACATTATTTATCTAAGGATCCATCTATCCATCACCCATTTCTTCCTTTTCGGGTCACGGGGGTCACTGGTACCCAAATCCAGCAGCCACTATGCAAAAGGCGGGGGACAACTTGGACAGGTCTCCAGTCCATCACAGAGACACAAAGACAAACGAGACAAACAACCATTCACTCTCTCACTCACATCTAGGGACAATTTAGAGTTACCAATCAGCCTAACGTGCATGTTTTTGGTCTGTGGGAGGAAACTGGAATACCTAGAGAAAACCCGCTCATGCACAGAGAGAACATACAAACTCCACCCAGAATGAGCCCCAGCTGGGTTTTGATTCAGCGACCTTCTCGCTGACAGGCAGTAGCTCTACCAACTGTGCCACCGTGCTACCTCTGTAAATAATAGCTAAAATTATTATAACATGTAATGACTTTGAACGTTAGATTTGTGTACAAATTTCCAGCGATAAACGTGATGCTAATTGCATTAGCTTTTTATAGCATTTTCAATGTTATGTTAGCATATATGCTAACTCTTGCCCAAAAGCCTGTGCTTCATTGGGTTCTTTGAGTGTTATTGTGTACTCTATCAAAGACAGACTCCTATAGATCAGTGTTTATTTATGTAAAATGTGCCTTTTGCCATTTAAGTTTCAATATCAGAATCAGAGATTCTTTGTCATTCACACCTCATGTGGTACATGTGGTGGAGCGAAATTATGTACACAGGGTCCCAGTTACATCCAACAATTAAATGTAAAAGAAAAACAATGATAACATCTAAGATATGAACTAAGAAAAACAAAAACTAAAAATACACTAAGCACTAATAGCATAAAAACATTACGTCGAACAGCAGCACGGACATGAGCATGAGTCTGTGTGAGCAGATGAGCACGCATGAACACCTCAACATGAAACAGATCAGCAGCAACATGATGATTTTTTTCACAGTGATTATTCTGGCCAGAGATTCATGAGTCAAACAGCCTCAGGGTAGAAGCTGTTCCTCAGTCTAGTGGTTCTACATTTAATGCTCCTCAACCTCCTTCCTGAGGGGAGCGGGGCAAAAAGTGTGTGTGCTGGGTGAGTGGGGTCCTTCATGATGCAGGTGGCCCTCTTCCTGCATCTGAAGGTGTAAATGTCTGATGGTGGGGAGACTGACTCCAACAGTCTTCTGTGCAGCCTTCACCACTCTCTGCAAAGCTTTTCTTTCTGCAGCTGTGCAGCCTCCATGCCATATGGATCCATATCCATATGATAAAAATAGCTAAATAATTGTTTTATAATTACATAGCAGCTCTCTAGATTGGAATGAAATTGATTCCTGAAGTGCCAAAAGATTTCCACCTGACATGTATATTAAGTTCAGCTAAATTCTTAAAGTTTAGAAACAATATAGATTTTAAAACTGTAAAAAATAATCTTTGTTTGCAAAGTTGTAAAATTATATACAAAAAAATACTACAGGTATAATTAGGCTGTTGAGAATTTTTTGGTCTAAAAAACATTTAATACTGTTGATCATAAATTGCTGAGAAAACCAGAAGTGGGGAAGCACTGTTTTTTTTTTTTTAAATGTCTTTTTTAACACTAAATTATTTCCTTATCTTCCATAGAAAACAGATCTGTTTGAACTGAATACCAATTCAGTTCTCAAAAAGGATCCCAATTAATTAGGAATAAAAGTAATAGAGTGTGTATGTGTGCATGCTTTATTTATTGATCCCAAACAGAACAAACTTTTTTTTTCATATATATTTATTTCTTCTTTTGTTTCTTCCATGTAGTTTGTTTCCTGTTGTCCAAATTAAAAATAAAAATGTGTTAACACAAACTAAAACAGAAAATCTGTTTCTTAATGGAAACCTTCATTTTGAGATTTAATAGGTCACCAGTCTCCCTCATTTCAGTTTCCACATACTGTCAGAAGTTTTGCACAGAAAAACATGTGATCAATATATTGATTAGTGTGACTTTAAATCCCCCTTGAAATATTTTTCTCTCTGATCCTGCTGTAATTGAACCCAGGCGATGAGCTCCTGAGTGTTGATTTCCCAGGATAGAAGTCTTGAGTTTTTTATGTTTTTCAGAGAGTCATTAACTCAAAGGAACAAATTTAACACTTTTCATTTGGAGACCTTCACTTCTTCGTCTCCTATAAACCGGTCCGATACGTCGTTTCCACAATGACAAACACTGCACACCGTGGTCACTTGCCAAGCCAACACACACCGAGCCATGAAGGTGGGTAGACTTAAGCGCTCAGGGCTGTTTTGGCCGCTGTCAGCAGATGAGTTGTTGAGGGAGTTTTTCCGCGGCGATTAGATGTGGGTTTATGTGCTGGACTGCACTCATTTGACCTCATTACGTTTGTGTTGCGCAGATTTCTCATGTCCTTGAATTTAACAACCGCTGCCAAAAGGAGTCATGTTTGTGTCCTTCTGTGTACATTTGTCTGTACCGTTAGCAAAAAATCTCATGAACAGTGGACAGGTTTTACCAAAACTCTCAGAAAGTCATTAATTGCTGCACAAAGACAGCTGATTAACTTTTAGTCAACCCAATTCAAGATGACTGCCACAGACACAAAACACAAAACTCTATAATTTTTTCAGATATAGAGCTCAGTTTTGTGTGGTAGCTGTTAGTCATCTGCATGTGTAGTGAACTAGACCTCCTACATCAATCTGTCTCTGAAGACCTTCAGGGGACAGGAACTGTTATTTCATTGATTTGAATCCAGAACACAAATTATCTCATCAAGAGACTATTTAATGCTGTAGGAGTTACAGATAGCTTCAAGGTGGAGGTGGGAGTGCATCAAGGATCGACTCTGAGCCCCTTCTTGTTTGCTCTGGTGATGGACCGACAAACAGATGAGGTCAGGCAGGAATCCCCATGGACATTGATGTTTGCAGATGATATTGTGATCTGTGGTGAGAACAGGAAACATGTGGAAGAGAACTTGGGGAGGTGGAGGTATGCACTTGAAAGAAGAGGAATGAAAGTCAGCCGTAGTGAGACAGAGCACACATGTGAATGAGAGGGAGACATGGACAAAAAGATAGGAGATGGAACTGGAAGTGGCAGAAATGAAGATGTTGAGGTTCTCCTTAGGAGTGACAAGGATGGATAAGATTAGGACTGAAACCATCAGAGGTACAGCACAGGTTGAACAACTGGGAGATAAAGTTAGAGAGGCCAGACTGAGATGGTTTGGACATGTCCAGAGGAGGGACAGTGGATATACTGGTAGAAGGATGTTAGAAATGCAGCTGCCAGGAAGAAGACGAAGAGGAAGTATATGGATGAAGTTAGAGAGGTCATGGAGGTAGTTGGAGTGAGGACAGAGGATGCAGAGGACAGAGTGAGATGGAGGAGGATGACTTGCTGTGGCGACCCCTGAAGAGGGCAAAGCCGAAAAAAGAAGCTGATAGTCATCTTCAACATGAACTTGAAAGCTCTCACAGTGTTGTATATCGTCATTTACAAGGTTTGACCAAAATGGATACAACGTTTCAACATAAGATGATTTTAGTCTAAAACTCTGACATGAAAGGTGGTCGGTGGTGTTCTTTCAACGGATGCTAGACCTTTACCTTTTTAAGTTTTCTCCGATTCTCTCATTATACATTGAAGAAATGTTTTATAAAATATAATTTTCTTAAGAATGTTGTTGGTTTTATTCTAGCCTCTTTCTTTTTTAACTTTCATGGTCTGTGTTCACAGCTGAACTCTTCGGGTCTTCTTGGGAACACCGAGCTGAACGTTGGCATGGCCGTCGCCTGCTTTCTAGCGCAGGAAGGAGCTGATATCAACTACGCCAACCACAAGGGCAAGAGTCCTCTGGATCTGGTGGCAGACAGCACCATGCTGCAGCTCATCAAGGGCTTTTCTGAAAAGTACCGGTATGTGTTTCACAAAAACAGGGCTGAAATTCAGCTGGAGAATATTGTTGAAGGTGCTACTGATGAAGCAAACCCTTTAAAGGTCACATTTATGAAGTTGATAATAAAAATAAAAAGCTTAGGGCTGTTTTTGGTCTGTGGGAGTTTATTTAGATGCGTTTTTACAGCTGTTTGTTGTTTGCCAGGTTGCAGCGTCTGCAGGCCATCACATGTGGACAGGGCCTGAGCAGCGCCAGCCTGCGGCGGGTCCACACGACACCAAACACCATGACCAACCTGGTTCTTCCCACGTCAGCAGGGCCCAGTGAATGCCTCATCTGCTCTGAGCTGGCTCTGCTGGTTCTCTTCTGCCCCTGCCAGCACAGCGTGGCCTGTGAAGGTAAGCTAGTCCAAATAACGCTGCAGGTTTTAACGTCTTCTCTCCTGAAAATGTTTTTTCTGTTGAACACTTGGCTGAAACTATTCTTGTCTGAACAGAATGTGCCCATCGCATGAAGAAATGCATCAAATGTCAGGTCACAATCACCAAGAAAATACGACAAGGTATGAAGGATCCTTTTGCTTATTGTCACCCATTACCACGACAAGTGGACAATCATGTTTTTATTTGGTTGTCTGCTAGCAAAACGTCTTGTGAACCTATGGACGGATTTTAATGGAACTTTAAACAATAATCATCTACACAGCAGCAAAGCGTTCTACCAAACTCATAAATAATTATAATAAGTCCGTTTTTCAGATAATGAGTTAATAATTAGGTGTGGTAGTAACTGAGCATCGCCCCAACGCATACTTCAAGCACAACAAAATTGTGCAACACCTTTATTTAAAACTGTGCTATTAGTTGTTGTCAACCCTGTTTGTCTGTTAGCAAAATATCTCTTAAACCACTGCACAATTTCAATATAATTCTCACAAATTAATTACTGGCTGTACTTCAATGATTAACTTTTGCAGTTACACCCATTTAAGATGGCCGACACAACTAATTGACCTTAGCTTCCACTAAATTGTCTATACTCCTGTGAATTTTGCATTTCTTAAGCCAAAATATGTTGTAGTAGTAGCTGAAAATCATTCCCAACACATATTCTGAGTGCTAATGGATCATACGAGATGTCCCAGTATTACATCACATTGAGCATCCTCCCCATGGTTTGACCAAAATGGCTACAAATCTGTTACTTCTCTACATAAAAAGATCTTAGTTTAAAATTCTGTCATGAAGGGCAGCAGGAAATAAGCTAGACCTTTATGTTAGTTAGTTTAGTCTCTGACTAATGAGAGGTTCTGAGTCTTGTTAGTTTAAAAGCAGCTGTGTTGTAGGCAGTGAATCAGCAAGATGCTTCATGCTCTGTTTGTGTAAAGACAACCTTCTCATCCTTGAACCAGTGGCAAAGGTATCATCTCGTATTAATTTATCTTCACTTAACTAAAACAGATTTATTTATTTTTTTGCTGATGGCCTCGCTCCACAGACCAAACAGAGGTGGACTGCAGCCCCGGCACCGAGAACTCAGAGCAACACAACCTGCTGGAGCAGCTGCAGTCTCGCTACCGCCAGATGGAGGAGCGCATCACCTGCCCCATCTGCATCGACAACCACATCAAGCTGGTCTTCCAGTGCGGACACGCCTCCTGCATCGACTGCAGCGCCGCGCTCAAGACCTGCCCCATCTGCCGGCAGACCATCCGCGAGAGGATCCAGCTGTTTGTCTGAGCCGCTGTGCACCTCGCAGGTCCTGAGGGCGCGAAGAGGATTACAGAGAGAGGTGAGGGTGGTGGTGGGGGTGCCGAGCACATTGGAGACCCCACTGTATCTGCCAGTTGCCGTCCTGCAGCGTGATCTAACTGTCACTCAGCTTTTCTACCAGACTCTGTTACACTGCTGGGAGTCCAGTGTTTGTTACATTTTGGTTCATTTTCCTCACGAGCAACACAGACAGGAACTCACGGATCACTTTTAATTCAACTTCCTGTCGCAGAACCGTTTTTTGTAGCCGAGTACAAGATGAATCTGACGGAAGGAAGTCATGAAGCGTCGCTGCATATTTGAATTCTCTGATCATAAGGGGGGGGGGGGGTGTTCATATAAATTTTGTTTCCTGAACTTTCACTCGAACCCTCACATCTGTCTGATCTTTGCTGCTTCATGTGGATGTCTGTTACCCATCATCCTCTGTGGCTTTCTGGCCTCTTCTGTTTACAAGTCTGTACTGAGATCATGTCTCATCCTCTCTTTCCACAGTTTGTGAATTACATTTGCTCTCATTTGTATCAAACGCTTAATAATCAACTGCAGAGAGTTGGCACAACTCACAGCTAGTCTGTCTGCAAGGGGAAGTAGACACTATGTATGCATATACATATTGTCAACTGAAAATGACTGGGTTGTCATTATTAATTTGTGATTTTCTTTCCTTTTTCTTCTCGTTGTGGTTTTCAATGTATGTGTGAGTTCAAGTTTTTATTTATGTGTGAAAGGTGGTTTTGCTTAATGTCCTTTTCAGATATTTTTGCTTAGCAAAAAAAAAAAAGGAAGTTTGTTTCTACTAAAGTTCACCCCAAGCCTATGTCCTCTACTCAGGGTATCGAATCACTGAAAGCACTCAAGATATCCATAAACGTTTCAAAGATGCACGACTCACTCGCGTCCTAACACAACAGGATAGTTCGTCACTGAGAGGAGAAAAAACAGTGATGAATTTGTCACTAATGGCAAAACTCAAAGTACATTCTCAGTCATGATTCTGCAGAGGAGATGCTACAATGAGGCACTTTTTAAAAAAGACAAAAACAGTCAGAGGTCGCATGAAATATTTGCAAAGCTAACAGGGAAAAAAAATTGTATCGAGATCCGAACCCGCTTTGAATGCAACCCCAGTTCTGAAAAAGTTGAGATGTTGTGTAAAATGTAAATAAAAACATATTGCAGTGATTTGGAAATCAACAGAACATTGTAAACTTTAAATCAAATACAACATTTTTTACTTTTTGTTTGGCAGGTTAGAATTTTATGGCAGCTCACATCTTAAAAAAAAAAAAAAAGCTGGGACAGGGTCAACAAATGGTGGTAAAAGTTTGTATACTAATCAGCTGGAGGAGCATTTTGCAACGGATTATGTTTATGACAACAGGTCAGTATAGAAAGATAATTTTAGAGAGGCTGAATCTGTCAGAAGTAAAGATGGGCAGGGGTTCAGCAGTCTGAGGGAAACTGTCTAAATATAGTGGAACAATTGCAGAACAATGTCCCTCATTTAAAAGAAGGCTAAATATCTAATCATTTACAGTTTATATCATCAAAAGATCTCGAAGGTCAAAAGTCAAAATTGGACGGCTAGAATGTTCTGGCCCTCAGGCGACCCTGCATGAGAAGCAGGTCTGGTGTGGACGTCGCTCTCATGGGTTCAGGAACACTTCCACAAATCACTGCTTGTAAACACAGTTCACCGTGCTGTCCATAAAGCAGGTTAATGTTTTATCATGCAGAGAGGAAGCCATATGCAAACACCGTCCAGAAATGTTATCTTCTCTGGACCAAAGCTCGTTTAAATTGACTGAGACAAAGTGGGAAACTGTTCTGTGGTCAGATGAAGTGAATTTTTGTATTATTTTTTTAGGGAAAATCACTTCACCACGTCCTCTTTACTAAAGAGGAGAGGGACCGTTCAGGATTTTATCAGTTCACAGTTGAAAGGCTGGTCTCTCTGATGGTGTAGGGGTGCATTAGTGCTTCATGGCCAGCTTACAGAGCAGGAAAGGCACCATCAGTGCAGAACAGTTTATAAAAGTGTTAGAACAGCAGAAGAAACATGTTTGGGACAGCCTTCCCCTCCAAACCCTCCAGCAGCTGCTCTCTAAATGTTTACAACCTGTTGTTAAAAGACGAGGGGATGCTTTACATGCTGAAGAAGGCCCTGTCCCAACTTTTTAGATGCGTTTCTGCCATTAAATTCAAAATTACTACATTATTTCAAACAAATGGTGCAATTTCTTAGTTTCAAAATCTCATGTTTACTATGTTGCATTCATGATATTTTACAAGTCATTGCATTCACTTTTTATTTGCATCTTACTCAGTGGCTCAACTTTTTTCAAAGTTAAACCGTTTCTCGTTTCTGGGTAACTTTCCATGGAAATCCATCGCTATGTTTGAGTCATTCTGCTTGTAGACAGACAAACGGACTCGCAGGGGTCAAAACGTCCTCAGAGCCTCTCAGAAGAGCTCATTAGCTTTATCTCTGATTGTCTTTTTAAAAGACTGTTGCTTGTTCACGTGGCGCCAGATTTTCCCTTTAAATTCAGTTATGCGTTTTAAATTAAATTAAATGTAATTTACCAGATGTATTGTAGGATGTGGAATCAGACAGGCAGAAACATGAAAACATTTTTTGTTGCCTTCTGAGTTCCAAATTTACCTTTTACCAGTCAAGTATTTGAGAAGAAACCCTTCCTTTACTCGTCCAGAGTTTTGGATTGTACGTCATCTTCATCCTCTAAGTGTTGGTGTGTTTTCTTGAAGGGCTTATGCATATGACACAAACAAATCATGTCTATTTTGATCTTAATTTAATTATGATTTTCTATATTAAACTTTCAGAGACAGGAAAGTTTTTGTCTTCTTTAGATCCCATATTTTGGGAAAGCCAATGTTAAAGATGTACATTTGAATGTTAGGAGGGGAATATATATCCTGTCTCACTCTGCCTTTTTTATGTACAAAAAACAAAACACACACACACACACATATATATAGATAGTGCCACCAGGTATGGTGGCA